TAGCAACTTATCTCTGAGCAGAGGTGGAAAAAGTACAGACATTCTGTGCTTAAGTAGAAGTACAGATATTAGAGTTAAAAACATGAAGGTGATTTAATCAAAATGATGTGGACAGCATGTACAGTTATGCTTCAATCATAAAAGATATGAAAAGGGCAAATATTCAGCTTTCCATTCAAATTTATTACCTTTTTTGTTGCTTTTCCTTCCTAATTGTCATATTTATTTCTGTTCTCCATCAGGGTGAAAAAAAGGTCATCTGAGTGCATTTAATCATCAATGAAATATTTCAATACTAAGCTTTTTTGCCTTTTTATCTGTCCCTAAGTTATTGGACTTACTGCTGCAATATTTTGTTTCCTGTCCTAGTGACTCTTTTCATCTCTTTTACAACAACAAAGCTTTATTCTTGCAAAGCAGGAAAGTTTATTGCACAATTTCTTTGTTACCATTTCCTTTCTTTAAGATCACGTGATTTCTGGTTTAAAAGAAATAAAGAATTATCAAAAGCATCGACACCAAAGGATAATCCTGAACCCTATTTTCAGGATTTGTGAGAACTCATCCTGTTTAATAGAGATTTTTTTTTTTTACTGTTTTCGCTTCCTGCACTGTCAGTGCTATTATATATTATGAGAATGCATATTATTGTTTACTTGTAGCAATGTTGTGGATGGTAATTTTCATACTTAGTTTACAGCAAAAGACAGCAGAAAAAAAACACCTTATTGTATGACGAACTATCAGGAAGGCAGGTTTTAAGTGTTGCATTTGCATGTTGCTTAAATTCAAAAATAGAACCAGACTTGACTGTGGTTCAGGTGTTGTCATTCTACTCACTCACAGGCATGGCTGCTCATCTCATCGTTCTTCTTTTTTTCAGTGTGCTTAAAGGTCAGTCACAGGAATCATTAAAATACTTCATGTTTTTCAAAGGTTAGTGTCAGTAGATGATAAAAATAATGGCTTTTAATAATTTTTAGTTTATTCTGTTTTGTACTTAACAACACTCTAAGCGTCTACATATACAAGAGACAAATGAAGGAAGAATGTTTTAATTAAACATAACCAATAAAATACTTTGTTCTTGTTGCAGGAGTTCACAGCATAACTACAGTCAGTAAAGTATCAGTGGAAGCTGGAAAATCTATCTCCATCCCATGTCTCTATGAGTCACAATATATAGACCATGTGAAGTACTTGTGTGAAGGACATATATGGAGCTCCTGCAGCTATGCAGTAAAAACAAACAAACCAGACCCTTCAGGAAAATATTCAATCTCTGATGACAAAAAAGGACAAATTTTTACTGTGACTATAAAAAATCTGACAAATCAAAATACTGATTACTGGTGTGTGGTGGAGATTAATAATGGACCGGACTGCGGACAGTATTTTCAACTATCAGTTACCAGTGGTAAGTGCACATCTCTATTAACATTTCAAATTCTTTACAATGTCGTTTTTTGGAGAAAAAAAAAACATTTTTTAAGACTGAGTATGCACTTGTCATTCAAAGCTAATGAGAATCAACATGAAATCTTAATCACCTATATTTTTTTTATTCAGCACTGAAAAAAGTATTGGCATTTTGGGTTTTTTGCTTTCTTTAAACTGAATTTTACTTGAAGATACCCCCAGTCTCTACGTGGATCATCAGAAGATTACAGGATATATTGGAGAAAACATAACTATTAGATGTCACCCGAGTAACTCTGGAGAAATGAAGTGGTGCAGGCTGGGCAGGAACTGTGTGACAGGATCATTTGGATCCATAGATGGAACAATAGTGACCACTCATATGAGAGACCCAGATGTTTCCACAGTGACCATGACTGGACTACAGTCAGAGGACAGTGGCTGGTATTGGTGTGCTGAAGGGGACATTCAGATACCAGTATATTTAAATGTTACTGAGAAAC